GCGTCTGCCATTCCTTCCCTATGCAGCCTTGGCTTCTGCCCGTGTGACCTGCACCCACGCGCCCAGCTCGCCCGCCGCTCGCTGCCTGCGCGTACCTCCCGTCGCCCGCGATCCGATCGCCTACCGTGCACCCGCGTACACCCAATGCTGACTGCGTGCTGACCACCCGCTCTCGCGCATCACCGCCCGATGCGCGCCTTTCGCCCATTCGACCATCGATCACCCCCGACCACTCATCGGCTTCGATAACCACTTCCGTGTCATTCCCCTCCTCTTCAAGACATTCCTTGTCCTCAAGGATGAGAAAGTTCAGCACGTCCACATCACTATCTTCTTCTTCAACGGGGAATTCACTTTGATCCTCAGTTCTTAACTTAATGCGCTTTCCTGGTCATCCAAATTCCATCTTTCCTCGCTTATAGTCAGTCGTAATGGGTCCAAGCGTTTCAAGCCATTGTACTCCTAACACAATATCTGTTGCCTTAAGCGGTAAGGCGTAAAGATCAATCTCCAGCTCGTGATCCTGTGCCATTATCGGGACCTTCTTGAATAATTGACTTCCCTGCAGCTCATGTCATTGTACTCCTAACACCAAGCCATTGTACTCCTAACACCAAACTTCTTGACTTTTGTGGGTACTAACTTCATCTTTTGCGCTATCCTTTCATCAATAAAATTTAAACTCGACCCACTGTCCACCAGGACCTCTAACAACATATCCTTTATCTCGGCCGTGAATCTGATCATCCTAGGACCACGCTTGTTGCACTTCACCATATGCAACCAGGACTCTTCCTGCGGCTTTTCTTCCTCTCGTTCCTCCTCAATTTCCAATATAAAAATTTCCTTACCCTTGCACTTGTGGCCTGGCGCAAATTTCTCGTTGCAAGTAAAGCACAAGCCTTTTTCCCTTCGCCTTTGTATCTCATCCTCCGTCAGCCGTCGGTATTTGCTAGTGGTTCATGTACCATCGCCGACTGTTGGCTTGACCTCGGCCCGTGGGGGCGTATCATCGACCGTGACGCTCGCGCGCCGAACGTCCGTGCGCCCCTCACTCGGTCTGGCCTTGCGCACTGCCGCGAGATGATCCTCGTGCAGTCGCGCTGCTTCCATGGCAGCCCTTGTCGACCTTGGCCTGTCCAACCGTACTTCCGCAGCCAACTCAGCCTTTAAGCCTCCTACAAACGCACCTACTAGTGCCTTTTCGGGCTAATCCCGAACTCGGCTTGCTATCCTCTCAAACTCCTTTTGATAGTCGCGTAGACTACCGGTTTGGCGGATCCTTGTCAGCGCCTCATCATAATCAAAGTATTCGCTAGATCCAAACTTGGTAATCAGCTCCTTCTCAAAATCTCGCCATCTGATTTGCTCGCCTTTATTTTTATAAACATATGACACCCATTGCCACCATGTGTTGGCCTCCCCATCTAAGTAGTAGGCAGCAATTTGAACTCTTTCAGATTTGTGTACCTCATTGATCTCGAAAAATTGCACGGCACGACTTAACCATGCATTCGGATCTACTCCTTCGAACGTTGGCATCGTTATCTTCTGTTTCGCACGTACGTGCTCCTCGCGATGATTACGATGGCCATGCGTCCTGCGATCGCCGTGGTGTCGGGTAGTGCGCGTCGCACGCGTTCCCCGCGACCGTTCATTGTCGTCATCGCGACTGGACGTCGAACTGTCCGTTCCCGCCATGGTTGATCTCGATGTGCGGCTCCTCCGCGTATGGTGGTTGACT